GGTTGGCTAGTAGCATACCCCTGGATTTGTGGGTCGCAGTTGGTACCCCCCGTATGACATTGGTCGCCATTGGTCTGGTAGGTAGGTTCCCCTTGATGTTGGCTCGTAGGCCAGTAGGCTTGTAGGTTACGTGGGACTATGTAGGCAGCGGTAGGCAAATAGAAAGTAATTAATCTGATTTATACTTTTGTACACACTCAGCTCATTGTCCATACTAGAATCAGACATCAGCCTCTTATCACGCAACAGTAATTATATTATGTGTTCTAAGATAAAGATAATACCCTAATACTCATCATCCGGGACAGCCTGCTCTCTGTCCTCAACAGCTTCCAGACCTGCCTCATGTCGCACATCGCCACCCTGATCATCGTCACTTGCTCCACCACGCCGCGCCAACCAATCCTGTATCGCCTGTTCAAGGTCATCATCCATCAGGCCGGGACCCAGGTCACTCGGCTCCATCACGGGAGCCCGAGCATTCTCACTAAACCCGAACAAGTAAGCCATAGATACGGACACATAATCAGAGATACATACCGTGCCTGATTCAAGAGGTCAGTTTGAATTGAAGGAATGATTCTATACCTTTTCATCTTGTCGTGGAACCGCTCCAACTCGTACAAGTGCCGGTCATACTTGGCCTGGTAGAGCTTGGCAGTGAACTGGATATCTTCCCGCTCGCCTGTCCGCCATTCATCTAGGACATTCTCTATCTAGAGGAATATGCAACATCAGGACAAGTCCCTGAAGTTCAGATAATTACTTACCACTGTAAGGACTAAGGCAATCGTGGGGATCGGCATACACTTCCCGAAGTAGCGCTGGTATTGGATGCCCTCATCCTTGGGATTTGCAAACCAGGTAACATTGATCAGACGCTGGATGATCTCGTTCTCGTAGATACCCGATCGGCGTTCATAATCCTGTACGGTAGCGCATCAGCAATCTACACGTCGCAGAAGTAAGAGTCCCTTACCGCATATGTAAACGCAAGCCGCGTGAGCAAGTCGCGTACCTTGTTACGGTTCTTCAGCCGTTCATCCTGACTAGACGGCACCTGTAAGCCGTACGCAAGTTCGACGAGACCGCGAGCTTTTGTTTTCAACTCGCCACGCACATGCGAGGCTCGAGCAGTTATCTGATATTGTCAACGACAGAAAACAGATATATGATATGAATGTTCAAGCACTCACCATTCGGACGAATGCATCTTCAATTGGTATATCAACGCCGGCGTCACGACAAGCGCGTGCCCAAGCTTCGACGGCCCACTGTTCATCTTCTGCATTGACTGGATATGCATATTCAGTCGAGACCCGGGTGCGGTAGTGACCGATTGCATCAAGGAGCACTTTCCTGATCAAGGAGGTGAAATCCTTGACCCGAAATCGCCCGCGACTCCCGCCACCCTTAGTAGTACGCCGTACCTTCGTAAGACGGACAGTCTCAGGGACCGCTAACTCGGAACGGTCACAGGCACGCACGACACAACGGGGACTGGGAGATGGAGGAGGGCTTGGGATATCATCGGACCGCCCGCTGTCACTCAGAGCCGGGGTGGGCGGTAGCGATGGTGCATGCGCAGCAGGGGAGTCTGGTGCCATAGGGCTGTGCGAGCCTGTGCGCATTCCATTGGACCCCCCAGGCGAGTCGTTAGGTTGATCATCACCCACAACCGGAGTACGCGAGCGGGACGGTTGCTCTGCCTCGAGGTCATGCATGTGGAAGCGTGGATGGGAGGGACTGTTGATGTCAACTCCTAGGAGTGGGCGGACGGGTGGGATGGATGTCGTACGTCGCACCAGTTGCTTCAGTATCGGAAGTTAGCATGGGTCTCAGGAGCTTATAAAGAATAGCATAAGCACTTACTTTCGTCGAGTTGTGCCCAGTCCCTGTATTCTCCTTCTCGTTCCCTGGCGGTGCACGCCGCACCAACCGCGTTGTGCCATCCCTCGAGTAGCTGATGGATCGAACAGGGGGCAGTTTCGCGAGGGTAGATGGTATGCTATCCTGAGTACCGTGCTGCTCGTCGTCCGAGTCCAGCACGACAGGGCGCGCGTGTGCGGTTATCTTCTTCTTCGCAGGAGGTTGAGGGTCTGCAGATCGCCTTGAAAACTAGGGAGTAGAACGTAATCAGAGAATGCAATAACCAGAGAACGGCAGTGCAACATACCGTTCCCCTGAACTGGGCTCTAGCTAACCCTTCCTCGATGTTATCATCGTCGTCTTCGGACTCGATGGCTTGACGGGACAGCGTTTGAGCCTATTCAACGGTATCAGTAACGAAGGAAAAAGACGGGACTTACGCGTTCGCTCTCTCTCGCGGAAGTCGTTCTCTTCCTGCAATCTCTGATGCCTCCGTAACGCCGTAATGTGTGCTCGGTTTTGGCTTTTCCTTCACCTTTGCGTATTGGTCGTTGACTGCGGGCTGTTAGATGTATGACCCTTCAGAGGAGGGAATGACTTGACATGTACCTATTTGGTGGTACT